ATAGATAGATAGATAGATAGATAGATAGAAAGAATGATAGATAGAACGATAGATAAATAGATAGAACGATAGAAAGAATGATAGATAGAACGATAGAACGATAGATAGATAGAATGATAGAAAGAATGATAGATAGAACGATAGAATGATAGAAAGAATGATAGATAGAACGATAGAACGATAGATAGATAGAACGATAGAAAGAATGATAGATAGAACGATAGATAGATAGAACGATAGAACGACAGATAGAACGATAGAAAGAATGATCGATCGATAGAACGAATGATAGATAGAGCGATATAACGATAGAAAGAATGATAGATAGAACGATAGATAGAACGATATGACGATAGAAAGAATGATAGATAGAACGATAGATAGATAGAACGATAGAACGACAGATAGAACGATAGAAAGAATGATAGATAGAACGATAGATAGATAGGTAGATAGATAGATAGAACGATAGATAGATAGAACGATAGAACGACAGATAGAACGATAGAAAGAATGATCGATCGATAGAACGAATGATAGATAGAGCGATAGAACGATAGAAAGAATGATAGATAGAACGATAGATAGAACGATAGATAGAAAGAACAAACAAATGAACAAACGAACGATAGATAAATAGATAGAACGACAGAAAGAATGATAGAGACAGAAAGAACGAACGATCAATAGATAGAATGACAGAAAGAACGATAGATAGACAGACAGATAGATAGATAGAAAGACAGATAGATAGACAGACAGATAAATAGGTAGATAGATAGAAAGAACAATAGAAAGAACGATAGATAGATAGAACGATAGATAGAACGATATAAAGAATGATAGATAGAACGATAGATAGAACGATAGAAAGAATGATGATAGACCGATAGAATGATAGATAGAAAGAAAGAATGATAGAACGATAGAATGATTGATCGATAGAACGATAGAAAGAATGATCGATCGATAGAACGATAGAAAGAATGATCGAACGATAGAAAGAATGATCGATCGATAGAACGAATGATAGATAGAACGATAGAAAGAATGATAGATAGATAGAACGATAGATAGAACGATAGATAGAAAGAACAAACAAATGAACAAACGAACGATAGATAAATAGATAGAACGACAGAAAGAATGATAGACAGAAAGAACGAACGATCAATAGATAGAATGACAGAAAGAACGATAGACAGACAGACAGACAGACAGATAGATAGACAAAACGATAGAAAGAACGATAGATAGATAGAACGATAGAAAGAACGATAGATAGAACGATAGAAAGAATGATAGATAGAACGATAGAACGATAGATAGATAGAACGATAGAAAGAATGATAGATAGAACGATAGAATGATAGAAAGAATGATAGATAGAACGATAGAACGATAGATAGATAGAACGATAGAAAGAATGATAGATAGAACGATAGAATGATAGATAGAAAGAAAGAACGATAGAACGATCGATCGATAGAACGATAGAAAGAATGATCGATCGATAGAACGAATGATAGATAGATAGAACGATAGAAAGAATGATAGATAGAATGATAGATAGAACGATAGATAGAAAGAACAAACAAATGAACAAACGAACGATAGATAAATAGATAGAACGACAGAAAGAATGATAGACAGAAAGAACGAACGATCAATAGATAGAATGACAGAAAGAACGATAGATAGACAGACAGACAGACAGATAGATAGACAAACAGATAGATAGATAGATAGATAGATAGATAGATAGATAGATAGATAGATAGATAGATAGATAGAATGATAGATAGGTAGATAGATAGACAGAGACAGGTAGGTAGATCGATAGATAGAACGATAGGTAGATAGATAGAACGATAGATAGAACGATAGATAGGTAGACAGATAGATAGGTAGACAGATAGATAGACAGACAGACAGACAGACA